GAGAACAGTGCACGACTCAATTGAGCCAACAATCACAGCGCCAACCATCCATTGGCCATGCCTTGAGTTTGGCTAAGTGAGCGGCTAGCAGCAGCAGCAACAGCAATAGTGGCCCAAAGCACACAGGGAGAGCAGCGGCAGAGAGACTTGGTTGGAGCTTGGGGATGGTTGGGGAGAGCTACTGTGCTCTTGGTAGTGCGCCAGCAGCGCGAGGCATTTGGCTGTTTTTTTCCTTGCATGCTCAGCATTCGCGTTCGGCATTCTTTCGAGTTGGAAGCAACTTTTTGCTGCTGTCGCCACCAATAACACTAGCAGCACACAAAATATTGCAATTGAAGCTACGAAAAGGTGAACTGAGTAAAAGAAAAAAAAAAGAAAGAAAAACAGTAGAAAAAAAAACATCAACCGATCGAAACAAAACATTTGTGCTGCAAGCGAGTCAAGCTTTGGCATTGCAATTATCGGTGAATGAGTGAAGATGCGCGCGCGCGCCATTTTCACAACTTTTTCGGCGGCGTAGTCAAGGTGCAGCCAGCCAACAAAGTGCGAGTTGAAGTTGAGGCTGCATAATCGATCGACCTGGCCCGTTTGCGGCCATTATGCGCGTTACTACGTGTGTTGCATGCAGATAAAGAAACAGTTGCCCGAGACGGTGTGGCAGTGACAACAGTCGACGAACATATACGTACAAGGCGAAGGCAATTGCGCGTTATTTTTGAGTGCGAAAACGCATAAGAATTGCAGCTTGCATCGGCGTAGCAATAACGTTTAGGCTGCCAAGCGCGCGACATTGAAACCGAGACGAAGCATAGTGATTATAATTGGAGGTAAACGAAAAAAAAAAAAAAACAAAGGCAAATATTCAAGGCGAAAAAAGTTGCAATACAAAACGGAAAAGTGAATAAGGTGAAAAAGTGTTCCGGTGTTTTTGCATTCAATAGCGCGAGTTGATGTTCTTTTCTTGCACCTCGCCATTTCGATGCGTGCGTCTGCAATTAAATACATATAATATTTGTAACGACAAAGTACGAAAATCGATGGCAAAGTGCATTGTGAAAAAGTGAAGTGAAAAATATTTTTAATGGAAAAACAAGTATAATTGTAACATAATACATACATACATACATACATAGATGTGTATATACTTACATAGTGCGGCACATTGTTCTGCCGGCAAAGTCAATTCAACAGTTATTCTATTACTTAAAAAATGTGAAATCGGTGAATTCAAAAATTGAGTGTTGTATATAAATATTTATATGTTTATTAAGGTATGGATATGTGCGTGTGTGTACACAACAACGATGTGTATGGAATTTATCTAAATCTTGTAAGACAACTCGAGAGACACACGATTTTTGTTAGGAAGAAACAAATCTAATGATGATGATTAGCAGGCCAATAATTTTTGCTAGAAGCCGGTTTTTCTTTAACTAAATACTTTAAGGTCAGGTTCCTCCAAAAAACGCGTTTTTCTTCAAAAAATTTTTATTTATTTCAAAAAATATTTTTAAATCAAAGTTACTGTAGATAAGTAGACGTAAAGAATTATTAATGGAAATTTCTCCTTTGGTGGTTCTAACAATTCTAATTGTTTGAAAAGATCAATACGCAAAACCATAAATAAGAGGAGGAGCTCGGCCAAAAAATCGCTTCAACGGTTACAAAGCGCCAATTATATATGTATATATTTTTGGTTGTAGTACCGACCACAGAGAGTCACTTTAGGTGTAAAATACCGTCAAGTTCATATTTATTAGTTCAATAGGTTCTAAATAAGAGAGTCAACGGATTTACCGCTTGGCGCGCGCCGCTCTCCCCTCTTCTATACTTACTTCTTCTTCTTGCGCGCCTTCGGTACCAATTCTGTACTCTTTTAAAGAGTATTTTCTAGCAATTTACAGAAAAAAGATCGATTTTTTTAAATTTCTTAGAGGAACCTGACCTTAAATATAACAAATACAGAGAGGGGGTGTTTAGATCTGTACAATAAGGTTTGCACATTATGAATTCCCGTTGGCTTGAGTTTTAGTTACCTTGACAACTACTTATACATATCCCTTAGCTATTCTGACAAGCTCTACAAGTGTTTAATAGTAATTGTTAATTTTAGACAGCAAATTATTTTTTAATGAGTCTGTCATCGTTTGGTTGATTTCCGCGTGCTTCCGCAATATTAAGAGAACATACTGCCGACGGGTCATCGCAATATTTGTGTTGTGATAGTTAAACCCCAATCACATCAATGAAAGCTACGAAACTCGTTTGATTGCGAAATGAGTTCATACCGCAACGTAAAATGTTCAATAGCGTGGGTTGCCTGATAGTTATAAGTAATTTCCGCGAAGCGTTCCATCAGATCCATTTACAAACACATTGCTGATTTGATTTGATTAGCGTACAAATCATGGCACAGCTAATATATAATATTTCCCAAACCTGGTGCGCTGTGATTTTTCCTTGTACGGCATTGCATTATAATAAAAGTGATAATTGCGGCATGGAAAGGAGAGATGAAAAAGATTAGTGCTTTGAGGTTTGAGAAACGTTGAGATGTATATATGTATAATAAAATAGACATTACTTTGAAGGAAAGCAAATATTTGCGGTTCGGTTCAGGTTAATCACTCAATTTTCATTCATAGACTAGATCTTTTGGGCTGTCAACCAAAATTTTTTCCAAGGGTTTCCGCGCATCTCTGCCATAGAACACAAGTTGTAACATTTAAAGACACTTTTTCACAATTAACTAATGTCTCATCAGGAGTTCGGCAAGGTAACCATCTCGGCCCGATTCTGTTTCCATTATTCATAAATATAATACACATCTTCAGTAATAAAGCATTCAAATATTTTGTTATATGCCGATGATGTAAAACTTCTTATGTCATATACCTCATTCGACAAAAGGCGTTTGTTATAAAACGATCTAGACAATTCGGCTATTTCATGTGATAACAAAGACATGACTTTCAACGTAAATAAGTGTAAGACATTGTGTTTTTCACTAAGACTTGTTCAACCTTCTCCTTACATAGTTAATAACTGGGGACAAGAGCAAGTCTTCAACTTTGTTGATTTGGAGGTTATGATGGATCACGTTCATATCAATACCACTTAAAATAAAATCTAAAAATCCTTTCGCCTTTGGCAAAAGATGGTCAAAAGAATTCAAAGAGCCTTTTTTTAACTAAAGCACTTTATGCGACTTTAGTGAAGCCAATATTAAAATATGGTTACTAATATGGAACCCCAAATATCAGAATGAACCGATAAATTGGAGTCTGTTCAAAAACAATTTTTACTTTTGCATTAAGGCATTTCCAATGGAACTATATGATAAATCTTCCTTCCTATACCAACCGTTTAAAGCTTCTGAATCTACCTACTCTCACAAGTCGTAGAGCAATGTTAGGCGCATTGTTCGTAGTGAAACTTCTTAACGGATCAATTTGTAGTTTATGGCTCTTGTCTGAGGTAAACTTTAAGGTTCCAACTCGTGTATCTAGTCAGTATGGGCTTTTACTATTAAAGTCATGTAAAACAAACTATGAATTGAGTGAACCAATTATGCCGATTGTGTCACAATTTTAATTTTCATTCCAGCACCTCCGATCCCTCCGGCTCACTTTTTAGCATCAAAAAACTATTTTTTCTTCTCTCAACAATTAAATTTCAAAATTCCATAATTTCTAACCTTCGGCTGCTGAACTGTTTCAAATCTCGACGTTTAACAAACGCTTCCCCAAGTATTGACTTTAGTTCATCGATCATTGAATCATTGAATAGGAATTAAGTCTCCTAACTCACGGTGAAAAATTGTATACCCAGAATATGAAAAAACCCCGGCCATGGCTTGACAAACAGGTTGCTCGTTTGTGAAAGCCATTTTTTGAGCTTGTTTATCTTACATGCATACCATATCTCCCTTTCTCTATGTATGTCTTTAATTCCGCTTCTTCTGTGCACCGCTGAATAGTACACTCACTGACTGCCTTGCCGTTTGCAGTAGATTGTGGCGATGGCGCAGAATGTTTTTTCTTAAACTATCGCAGAAGGGTTCGTTTTTTAACAGATGTCGTTTTTCGCTTGCCACCCAACTCAGGCAAGTTCCTGAAATCATTATGTTTTATGAATTTATTGATGTAATATGGTGTAATGTTTACTTTTACGGCATCAACAATTTCACCTTTTACCATCTTTGAAGTTCCAACGAATTCAGTTAACTTTGTCGTGTTGCCGTGGATTCTTATTAGTAAAGTAAAGAGAATACAAATCAAAATATTTTTTATTTTATTTACAATACAGTAAATGAATTTTATGCCAACTTGCATCAGTTTTAAAGATACCATTTTCCCTCAAACTTAACTCTCTTAGGTTGGAACTAATTTTAGTTGTATATATTCCATGGACGGATAAGAGAAAGTTATTCGTATAAAGGCGTTACTTTATTTCTCAGAATATTGCCATTAGTCGACTTATCAATTTTCAGCATTTGACACAACATAACATGAGGTCTAAGAAAAAAAAAATTCTGACCGATATCATCAAGAACGGTATACTCTATGATCACTTTTTAACGTTGGATTTGGTTATAAATTCTCCACTTAGACCTTTGCCCCAATAGCACAGATATCGATAGCACAGAGCACAAAAAGAACTTGTAAGAAAATTATTTAATCTAAAGACCGTTGTGTAAATATCTATATATTGTAGTTATATCCGAAAAATTGATAAAAAAAAATCGACTCGGATTGAAAAATCTTTTTTTTTCAAAAGTGAGCAGCGATTAATTCAGTTTTTGTGATGCCCTGTTAAAAAATATTATAATTTATATGTACATACCTATGTATGTATATACATGGTATATTAAAAAATCAAGTGTCTTCTTCACTGTACCCAAATATTTTTATATCCCTTTCAGATCAGAGAGCAATCAAAGCCTAAAAGTGCCGTTATACATACATACATTTGTGAATACAAAAATTATGAGTAAAAGAAATTGAAAGGTGAAAATACACGCAGAAAAAGGAAAATTAACAGTGAATTGTGAAAATCGGAAATTTTATGTGCAAAAATTATTGAAAATTAATCTATAATTAGTAAAAATTGTAGAAAATTTTAAAATTATACAAACTTGTACAAAAATTGGCAATCGGTGTTTATCGAAATTCCAGTGAAATAAGAGAAAAATTGCCAATTCATCGTCTTCGCGCGTTCATATGATTATGCATGGTACCTGGTATAAGGGACCACAATTGGCGCATCGCACACATACACACAGCGATTACCATCGGGATTATACTACAGCTCATCACGCTCAATCCCCACACCATCTCCATCCTCATCATCATCATCATCATCAACCACCACCGCCGCCTCCACCACCAACAACTTCGTCGCATTTGCATACTCATTCACATCATCATCATCCGCATACGCATCCGTATCGTTCGTATCCCTCATTTGTTGTTACACCATATCATGAGTCGCCGCCCAGCTCAGCACCAACACCGGCATCCACACCGATGCCAACACATGCGGCAGCAGCGTGTTTGAACGGTGTACCGGCACCAATATTGGTAGAGGGCTCTTTTGCCGCTACCCCAGTGTCCAATTCAGCGATTGGCATCAATCATTTAACATCAGTTCTGAGTCCTACTATTAAAGTTGAACAGCCGTTCGGTGAACCTCTATCTGTGGATGAGTATGCACTGAATTTGGATTGCAACATAGGAAGTACTTTTCGGGTGAGTTAAATTTTTAATATTTATGCTATAGAAAGTAAACAAATTTAGTTCAAATGGTTCCTTCCCAAAGCTAGATGCTCCGAATAGAGGAAAAAAATAAGGGAATATTGAACTAAGGAAAAATAATAAATTATTTTTGCACTTAAAGCTCAATACCACAACTCGTATTATCCGATTTATGTGAAATATCCACCGTTTTGCTCGATAACTTTTTGTCATTTTGAAGATAATCTATTTATGCCTTACTCATAGAAACAAAAAATTAGGACACTCGATTTTCACAGGCTTCTCTTGAGACCGATTCTTCACTAGACAAATCATTCGCCAGCTTTCGGTGTTTTTGGGCAGTCACTATCGGCGTGTGTGGTCTGGCGTTGTGTTGATGAAACGAACCGAAAGCTGATGATTTCAAATTCACAAAAAAACCTTCCACTGCTCTCCGATCACGACCGTTTTCGCTTGACGTTTCATCCCCAGTCACCGTCCGCTTCTGAGTGGGTCGATTTTGTTACGGTTCAGCAGCGATTCGCAGATGGAAATTCGGTCCTAGAGGTTTTTTCTCGTCAACTCAAGTGGCCGCTTTATATCGATCTTCTTTGTTTATGCAGCCTTTTTCAAGTGGTTCCAAACTGTTTAGCTCATGACGATCAAACTTCTTGATTTCCATTAATTTATCAACAAATGGCCCCCCACGCCGTCGACGAATCCATTATTGTGCATGATTGACTATTAGAGTAGCAGACCAATAAATACTATTCACATTTTCAGCTGCCTTCACTTACGTCTTAATCGAAGAAAATTTGTAAAATATTGTTGCGTATTTGCAAAAAGCTCGGAGAGCCAATTTTCACGGGCCTCTCTTGAGGTCAACTTCTCACCATTAAGCGCGTTCGCCATGGACAGAAAAAGATAGTAATCACTTGGGGCCAGGTCCGGACTATAAGCTTCTGGCGCTTCACCAAAGACGTGTGTGGTCTGACGTTGTATTGATGGAACACAATTCAGCCTCTCTTGATAAAAAATGGCCTCTTTTGGATGAGTAAATGATATTTACCGCAGTAAGTGAACATATTCCAACTGATCAAATAAAATCACTTGTGACACCACCCAACACAGCTAAACCTGCAGATGACTCAAATCCCTGTGTATCCCTGTGTACCCGATGTAATTACATTAAGTGAATACTCTTATTCAGCGGTTTTTTTATGGGCCTCACATTAGACAACTCGTGATACCAATGACTGTGTCGAAATCAAAGCTTGGAGCACATTTGTCTCGGTTTTGAGTGATTTCCTAGGCAAAAACAATCTGATAATCACGTCGAGCTTGTTGAGGGTATGCTATCGAACATACGAAAGCCAGTTGTACTACTTTCTGCACTTGCATTTAGGCCGATTTTCTGAAAATTCGGGTGATTTTAGTGAGGAGCAGGGTGAAAGATGTCAGCAGATTATTCGTGTAATGGAAGATCGTTATCAGGGTTGGTGGACTCACCAGGCACACTACTGCTGGAGTTTGCAACACGATCCACCTAAAGTCATTTATTCAAGAAAGTCTTATTAAATGGAAAATTTGATGAACGCGTCCAATAATTCTTTTTTCTTATCGAAATAGCTATCAAAACTGTATTTTTTCAGCAGCAAAGCTGTTAGAATCTCATAATATTATTTTCATAGTATGAACAGTGATACACAAATTTTATAAGAGAGTTTCAAATTGAAATTTTTGATACTCAGAATTGTTTGACCTTCTCACTCTTAAGATATTCAACTTCAATATTTTTTTTAATTTTTGTTGGGGATATTTTTAGGCAGATTTTATAATATTGCGTACATATACGAATTACTCCTTTCAATCCACGCATGAAAAATAGAAAACAACTAGTGCCGGGCGAAGAAGAAGTGCCGATGCGAAAAATGCCGGGCGACTTTGAGAGTTTTTCTTGGGTTCATGAAAATGCTCAGAAAAACCAAACGCGATACAATATTTACGTTGTTCAAAAAGCAGTATATTTGAGCAGTAAATGTAGAGGAGTTCTTTCGTATTTTCAAAACGTACTTGCACAAACGAAAAGTCATCTTTTCATCACAATTTGATACGAACTAATTAATATGAATTGCATTTTTTGCATTTCCACTTTGTTTTGCAACACGATAAACAACATTTCATAAAGCAAATGAAATATGCAACCCACCAACACAGTTCGGAGGTCAGATGTTGTCCTTATAGAGTGAAGACGAAAACTGTTTCTTTTTAATTCTCCTGGAGTGAAATTACATCATTTATAATGTATTGAATACAAATTTGTTTTGAGATAAATTTCTCCCGGAGCGAATAGTAAAGCGCTAAAATTTTAAAATATTTTCATCCATTTTTATATAGTAGGTGTAGTAAAAGGAAATCCATTATTTTTGCATGTAATTAAATGCTTTAATTTTTTTCTTTCGTTTCTAGCCTTCTTCAAATGATTCCATCTATTGAGAATATAATGGATTTCTTTCTACTATACCTAAGATAATCGAAGCACTTTTAACCCCTTTAGTGCCAGGTGCCGATATATCGGCTCTAGCAACACTCTCGAAAAGTGCCCGAGCCGATATATTAACCCGATATAATGCTTCGATTATATGCTTATATGTATGTACATATATAAATTAAAAGTGAGGAAAAATATTTTCAAAACTTTTTTAAAGCTCTGATTCATTTCGTGGTTTGATTAAATTTAAAATTTTTGGGACTTCCAATATTCGATCAACTTAAAGGACTTAACGAAATTATAATATTTTTATCCCTGAATCGCTGAATGTTTTACTTTCAAACAACAAATCAGATATGACGAAAGCGACTTGGCTCGTCATCTTCATAAAATCGATTGAATTAATGGATAAATCTGTTCTCTCCTTGGTACTTTGTTACAACTTACTAAGGTTGTTATACAATGAGGAAAGGCATATAAATTAAGAAGTTTCTAAATAAAATCCAATATTATGTGTCGCGAAATATAGTGCAATATTTCATTGCTTAGTACAAATTAAAATACTCTTTTAACGCTAAATTACATATAAAAAGAATTAAAATCCTTTATATTTATTTATTTTTTATTTAAAAATTATTTATATTTTTTAAGCGGGAAGCTTCAAAATCTACTATGGAGAGAAATAGAAACTCCTAAAATTAAAGGAAATAAGACCAGCGCAATGGATGCTTACATTTGGATTGACTTGTCTTGTCTTCTATCGCTTTGTTAAGATTAAACCGATCCCAGCTTAGAAATTACACAAGCCTCGCAAAGTGTGTATGATTTTTGCAGACTGCCGTCGGTGAATATTGCCAGCGATTTAATTTAAGCGGATTAAGCTAAAATCTACACGGGCGCGTTAATGAAGTCCAATTGTGGTTTCAATAATTTTGTTGCCTTGTTATTCTATCACTGACGAAGCTTTTCATAACTAGCATTTTTATTGTGATGAAAATGTTATGAAGAAACCATTTGCTCAAAGCAATCGAAAATTAATTTGTAAGAACTTCAATGAAACCTCATATATACACTAGCCGCCATAAGTCTATGCCCATCAAAGTTCCTTTTTTTATTTTAAACTAATTAGGTACTTCATTGGAGCATTTTTGCGTAACATTTTACTATGTACTATTTACATATACATATATATATATATACGTATATATGACTGCTGTAAAATAAAATGGTCATCAAAAATTAAATGGCATAAATAACAAATTTTATAATAACAAAAAAAAAAAAGACAAAAACGATATGATTTGCTCTAAAAAATACCAATAGAAATGTTCATAAACTAAATTATACATAAATATGTAAATACTAAACACGCCCACAAACAACAACATCACGAGAATGGTGTTTTTTGCAAAACTCAGGGTTCAGCGCTATATGCGTATTTATATTTTTTGTTTGAGTTTAACTTTGTATATGACGAAGCGAGAATTACCGTTAAAAAATTGTAAAGAGAGAATTGGAACCAGGACAACAGTAGAAAGAAATTGGAAGTCCGCCGTGTGAGAGAACATGCAACAGTAGAGTTTGAGCATGCGTTAGCATGAGTTGAGTGTTATCCCGGAATTGAAAAAAGCTCAATTTTAATTTTTTCCCCATTTTCATGGTGCATAACTGAGTAAATTTATTTAAAGAGAAGAATATTTGGTACTAAGAGAATTAGAAAATCGTATAAATAATGTTCCTTTTTACAAATAAGCTTTTTATAGCTGCGCATACATCCTGTATAGTCCTTAAAGTGTCTTTTTTATATTTGCACGTATTGGGATATCCATAATAAAGAAGGATTGTGTCTTTGCTGCTATAAACGTTGCAATGAATGCAAGCATCATCTGTTATTTGTTAGCCATAATTCGATTGACGCTTTTCTAAATAGTCAAAGGTGCATACTTTTAGGAGCCATTTGTGTTTTATCGGTGGCCTTTAGAAGGACACTCTTGAGCTTTTTTTCCTGCACAATGAACAAAACTCATGTCTTTATATCATATTCACGTTCCTCAGTTTATAACAATAGTCTTTTTGTTGTTTTGGCTGAGAAGTCATGGTAAAACTTCAATCAACAGGTCGTAGAAGGGATAAGCTTTTGCCTCGAATTGCATATTCTCATGTTGGAACTGATATTACACTTCACCTTATATTATATATAAACGATAGGTAAGATATATTTTCAAATTATATTATTTCCAAATATATCTTGATTGAGTGTTAGTTTCACTCGTAAAAAGAGCTTTGTTGGTTAATAGCTTCAACCTAAGCTTTTAAACTTGCTTTTGATATTGCACATGAATGTTTTCAGTATTTACATATATAAAACAATATATGTAATACTATTCTAAAGCAAGAACTTATTACTCTTTTATCTCAGTTATAATCAAGCTGCAGTAATTTTTCTGTTAAGAGACAGCTTTAAAGTTAGAGTGGAGTAAATTCTTTTGCTCGAATTGTAACTAAGAGCGGGGCTACACCTATC